CTAACTCTCATCCCCGCCGCTTCACACTCGGCTGCAAACCGCCCCAGTGAATGCTGGAGGTCACGATCCGAGGAGGCTAACAGGACCACATCATCTGCAAACAGCAGAGAGGCGATCCCGAGACCCCCGAACCTGACGTTCTCCGCCCCCAGGCTGCGCCTAGATATCCTGTCCATGAAAGTCACGAACAGGACCGGAGACAAAGAGCAGCCCTTGCGGAGGCCAACACCCACCGGGAACGTGTCTGACTTATTACAGAGAATGCGGACACAGCTCCTACTGCAGTCGTACAGAGACCGGATCGCCCGTTGTAACGGGTCCGGCACCCCGTACTCCCGCAGCACCCCCCACAAGACCCCCCGAGGGACCCGGTCGAAAGCCTTCTCCAAGTCCACAAAGCACATGTAGACTGGTTGGGCAAACTCCCAGAACCCCTCCAGTAGTCTTGCTGTAGGTTCTGGGAGTTTGCCCAACCAGTCTACATGTGCTTTGTGGACTTGGAGAAGGCTTTCGACCGGGTCCCTCGGGGGGTCTTGTGGGGGGTGCTGCGGGAGTATGGGGTGCCGGACCCGTTACAACGGGCAATCCGGTCTCTGTACGGCTGCAGTAGGAGCTGTGTCCGCATTCTCGGCAATAAGTAAGTTGTTTTTATTCATATATTACATTTATATATACAGTGTATGTATTTTACTATTTGTTTATGTTGTTTATATCTTTCATTCATTTATTTATGTTGTTCGTTTATGTATTTACACAAAAACTTTTTGTGATTTTTATTCTAATTCACACAAACCTTTCAAATTTGTGTGTACATTTATATTTGTTTATATAGTATATATGTATAGATACTTTTATTTATGTTGATACCTACAACAGTAATGTTAAAAGTTTTTAACATTAACCATATGGGTTAATGTTAAAAACTTTTATTTGCTTATTTATATTAATGCAAACGTGTATTCATGTACTTTATTTATACTTATTGTAACATTTATGTTTATTTATATAAAAATGTATTCATATTTACCACCACCAAAGACTGTCAAGCTAAAGACGTCTCACTCTGAACAAAAAGGACTTAATATATTTGATAATACTTGAAGTCAACAGATGAACAAAGACAGTAAAACAGGTCTCACTCCTACCACAAATATTTTCCCACTAGCACTTTGTTCTTGCAGATGACCACGCCCACTGGAGTCGGACCCAGGAAGTACTCAGTCTGGTTCTCACCCTTGCAATGCATCATGGGAGTTAAAAATAATAATATAAATATTAACACATAAATTCAGTCTGACAATAAGCTTAAAATGTTATATTAAACTAAACTGTTGCTCTCTGGGTAATTAAAGTGTCGGTTTCTTTGAACAAATATAGTAGCATGTCACATTCTTTAAAGAAATATTTGATGGCATTTTGATAGTAAATATTTTACTAATATTAGTAAATATTTTGTTAATATTAAAGTCTAGAAATCCAGTGATTTGATGAAGAAAACAGGCGAAAAACATGTCAAACATACTAAGAAGTAGAATAAGTGAGGAAAGACTGAAAGGAGGCGAAGTGTCGTCTGTATTGATCGGTGATCGGTTTTCTTACGTAGGCGGCGAACAAAGAGACTCCGAACATCTGCAGAGAGCTGCAGAGAGACAGGAAGAGACGCTGAGCCTGAGGACGAGAGACACCGCTGGACAGAGGGATAAAGAGAGAGAGAGAGAGAGAGAGAGACAGAGACAGAGAGAGAGAGAGAGACAGAGAGAGAGAGAGAGACAGAGAGAGAGAGAGAGACAGAGAGAGAAACAGAGAGAGAGACAGAGAGAGAGAGAAAGAGAGAGAGAGAAAGAGAGAGAGACAGAGAGAGAGACAGAGAGAGAGAGAGAGAAAGAGAGAGAGACAGAGAGAGAGACAGAGAGAGAGAAAGAGAGAGAGAGAAAGAGAGAGAGAGAGAGACAGGAACGTTAGATTTTAGGGTGTGTGGTGGATCTTATTTAGTTTTTCTCAACCAGTGAACAGGAAGTGAGCATATCTGGACTGAGGAGGAGTGACGTAGAGACGCCGTATACGTCTCTGGTGTCGACCTGTCAGTCACTGTGTAGCCCCGCCCTAAAGCATCCCCTGCTTTATGGTCTGTG